AATTAATTAGCAGTTGCATGTGTCAGGTTGACAGAACTTTGCTTGCAGAGAGCCCATGTGTTTCCTGTTATATTCAGCCCTAACACCTGTTTCTCTTTCTGTTTATTTTAGGTTAATGATGTGAATATTCTGACACGTTTTTAACGATGATTGAGACCGGTACGCCGACGATGTTGGACAGAGCAGAACCAGCACACTGCACTGTGTGCTGCTGCACCCTGGCCAACAAAATCCTCATGGTGCTGTTCATGGTGCTGCTGATATTCGCCATCCTCTTTGGGAACCTAGTGACTCTGGCTGTGGTGGTGGGGACCAAGCACTTCCACACTTCGCAGGGCTACCTAAAGGCATCTCTTGCGGTTGCGGATCTGGCTGTGGGGATATTTGTGGTCCCTCTGTCTGTCTATGCTGAGGTCTATCTCATGGTGGCTGAGTCAGCACCAGAGTGGACTTTGTACAACTCGCAATCTGTGAGTTTTCACCCTTGTAACATTATTGGCCCCATCTTCGCAGGATGCACCTTCGTCTCCATCACCACTATCTTTCTTTTAACGATTGAGCGGAGCATCGCAGTGCTGAGACCACTGCACAAGGACTCCTTTATTACCCGTAAAAGGACGACAGTCCTCATCTTCCTCTCCTGGGTGGGGAGTTTCCTCCTGGCCGTGTCTCCGATGGTATTCAGCAGTGAGATCGCCCTGGAGTACAACTCCTGCAGCAGGATGTGTAATTACGCTTTGGGGACAATTGGTGAGTTCCCTAGCCAGGCCTGGAACATCCTCCTCCTCTTTCCTGCGTTTGACTTCACGCTCCTTGGTAGCACAGTCGTCATCAACATCATCTCTCTGTCCAGCATCAGGCAGCACTCAAAGCACAGGAAAACCCTGGCAGAGACGGAGATCCAAACCACCAGTAATCCCACTTTTTCTGACATTAAAGCAGCGAAGACAATCGGGACTCTGACAGTGGCATTCACAGCATCATTCACCCCCATCGCCGTCTTTGTGGTTGGGAACGTTTTGGGGAACATATGGTGCAACTTTTCCTTTTTTGCCTTTTGGATTTTGGCGACCAACAGTTGCTGGAATGTCATTATTTACAGCGTGAGGGATCAGAAGTTCAGACTTCGTGCACACAAACTTTTCATGCCTTCCCAAAGACAAAACTCAACAAAAAGCTGAATCTTTAATGAGAAGTTTGGTCAGGTTCTTGTCTCTTAGAGGTGTATGTGTCCCACAGACCATTGGTCCATCTCATTATTATAGACTCCTTTTTTTTTTACCATTATAGCTACAAGCAAAGGAAATTTAATAAAACCTCAATTGAGGAATGAAGGTTTAAAAATATTGAAAAAATAAAATGTGAAAAATCTGAGTAGTAAAAACTTTTTTACTTAAAATGTTTTTTAAAGTTTTATTTCTGGTTTGCATTTTTTTTTTATGCAAAATGTGGTTATTTTTTGCTTGCTACAATCGTGAAACAAAATTCACCCCATATTTTACCACCTTTGTACTGTGGCTGCATGTCTTGTTGGCAGCTGTGGTGCATCTGCTGGAAATTCTTTATTTTTTACCTAAATAAGGCACTGAGTGTTTATGGATCACATGCCCTCAATGTAAATATTCTTCTCAGTGGGTGTTCATCTTGTTCTGTGTTTTGTTGAATAAAGGCATGTCTCAGTTTGTGAACTGGCTGTTTACATTTATATAAATAATTAAAGACCAATTAAAACAACATGCCTTTTCTTTTCCTATACTGTGAATAGACAGGACATTTTAAGGGAGGTGATATTTGTTTCATGCGCTTGTTTTGGGGAAATTGGCAGGAATTTCACACATTTCTGTAATTTACTTATTCAAGTAATTCAGTCACCAACAAATAAACATTTTTTTTTAAATGAGTATTTGCTGCCATTTTTGCTTACAGTTGATATTTACATAAACCATTTTAAAAAGAGAGAAAACCTTTTTTTCTGTCTGACATTTAATCTGAATGAATGTTACTTGTTTGAGGTCAGGATTACACAATATTTGGTAAATGCCAAAAAAAAAAAAAGGAAATCTTATTTAAGAGATTTTGTTTTACTTCCTTGGACGTCTGACTTTTAACTTGGCTTTATTCAAATCCAAATCATTTTGAGGATTTTATGATCTTAAAAGCTTCTGAAATTGTTATCTAAAACATTTCAGTTGAACGTAGCCTCGTCTTTATGCATTTTAGGGCAACAACCCAAAACATGTTTCTTCCTTGTGTGACACTGAAAATCTAAATCAACCAGAGGCAGGGAATGAAATTCTGCTCAGGGCTTCCTGCAACCTTATGTGATGTCTGAGTTTTTATAATTATTCAATCTACAAATATGTTCTTTCATTGCAAGCTCATTCAAGCAGCTTACTGTACATAAAAACTATCGTCTTTGACAAATAATACATACCAGGGAAAAGATTAGCATAAAAAACCAAAATTGAGAAGGAAAAATAAATTATATTAAACAATGCATGAAAAGGCTTGTTTCCTTTTTAATTTGGAACATTAAGAAAAACAAAAACTCTGCTTCTTTGTTTGAATTATAAAAGACAAGCAAATGAAAAAAAAACTATTTACTTAAATATTATATTATAAGTATTTACACACAAATGAAGTAAAATTTTATTCTGCAATATCAAGTAACACTTGCTAGTTTAAAGTGACATACAGTTGCAGATGTGACATACAAGTTGTAAGTTATATTTATTTAAACAGATTCAGTAGAGTCTACTTGTTTTCCATAGGCAAGAACATTATTTTACTTAAAATTGTAAGTAAATTTTATATCACTGTAGTATTTGCAGTTATAAGATAATTAAGTAGATATTAATATTTTACTTGTGCTTTAAATATTCGTTCACTTTTTTTGCATTATGATACACTACTCAATAAAATTAGGTAATTGTTGCCAATAAATCAATAAGTGTTACTAAATAAACCCATGCTCTATGCATTTAATCTAATTAAATTCAGAAAGACTTTATTAATCCCACAGGGACATTAATTGTTGCAGTAAATTATGGGGTTTTCTTTAACGAGTTGTTCTAGATGTTGATCCTGTAGGAGTGAAGGAGGTTCTTCAGCTGTCTGTCTTGCAATGGTTCTGAAGAAGCCCCTTACTAAAGGCATTTAATATATGTATATTAGTTTTTTGTTTTTTTTTAACAACTAAGTAAATACACTGCTATGCATGGAAGCACTGGAACTAAATGCTTTTCAAAACATTCATCCACCTTCTCCCACTTACACA